CTAGATTATTGGAACATAAAAAATTTGGCCAGCTAGACCTAGAGAATAATTGATCCTACTAAGTTAAGTCACCTAGAAGAAAAAACAGAGATGAGGCCGCCTTTGCATTGTATCGCATTGCATTCACTTGGATGTAATCACACAATAAAGAGGGTGGGATGGAGGGACACGGGGACAGTATTAAAAAGTAATATGGTTAGGCGGAGAGAGAGAGAGAGGTTAATCAATCACTGAAGCTTTGTTCATCGATTCAACGCCTCATCACAAGTGCAATCGAAATGACGCAACGACTATACTGGAGATATGGAAATCGGCAACAAACGCAACAAGGGAACATTAGATTGAGAAGAATCAGAAGTTCAGCAAAGACATCTTTTCGGCGATTTCATTTTCAAAAGCTGTACAATCGAAATTAAATACATAATTTTACATGGAGACAATTCTTGTTTGATTCTACATAATTATGACGGCGAATAGAAGGTGATAATTATTTCCAACTAGATATGGTTTTACGAGAGGCTTAGAAACAATATGCATCGAGAAGCCGGAGCTGTGTGTTCAAAAGAAATTAGTCCAACCTCTACAACTACCATGGACTTAGTTCGGTATGCTACTTTAGCTTCCGTTTTTGTTTTTTGTTTTTGTTTTTTGATCCCTTTTCGTTCGGTATGTGTGTGATTCTTACTCCCTCAGTCTTCATTCGATTCACCCCATTTTTTTTCCAGTTATAAAAACAGTTATTTTAAGTTTGTTTCCATGCTTTTCCTGTTCACATTTATAATTCATTTTAAAAATTTACAATTATATCTTAATCTTGTGCAATTTTTTTGTGTTTCTAAGGCTCTTGTAATCTATATTCACACCTCCTAACTTCCATTTTAAGTTAAAACTATTATATCAATTTTTGTTTTCATGCCCACTTTCTGCACACCTGTGATTTGCTAAATCCCATGTAATTTTGTTTCTAAGGCTCTTGTAATCTATATTCGCACCTCCTGATTCCCATCTCAAGTTGAAAATTATTATTTCAATTTTGTATCCATGTTCATTTTTACACACTTGATATCCGTTCTAATCCTGCGTAATTTTGTTTCTAAGCCTCTCGTAAAACCATATCTAGTTGGAAATAATTATCACCTTCTATTCGCCGTCATAATTATGTAGAATCAAACAAGAATTGTCTCCATGTAAAATTATGTATTTAATTTCGATTGTACAGCTTTTGAAAATGAAATCGCCGAAAAGATGTCTTTGCTGAACTTCTGATTCTTCTCAATCTAAAATTTATATGATTATGAGTAGTAATCATTTAGGCTGATTGGATAATGCGACAGACAGCGGGCAATGAGGAAACAGGCATAAAATGGACTCACACAAAGAACTTGGAGGATCTGGACTTCGCCGATGATATATGTCTGATTTCCCACAAAAACTGGAAGATATGCAAGTGAAAAGTAACAAGTTGGCAGAAGAAGCATCAAAGATAGGACTCCAGGTGAACATAGAGAAAACGGAGGTGATGAAGATTCCTGGCCAACACCAACAGCCACAGCAACAACAACAGACAGCAATCAGCATAAATGGAAGGAACCTGAAAGAAACTACCTCCTTTACCTACTTGGGAAGCATTGTTTCAACTACAGGCGGACGGAACTGACGAGGATATCAAAGCAAGAATCGGGAAAGCAAGGCAAGCTTTCATTACTCTCAATTCTGTGTGGAGGTCAACAGCACTATTCAGCATCAAAAATAAGATCCGGATTTTCAACTCCAATGTGAAGTCAGTGCTACTTACTATACGGATCAGAGACTTGCACTGCACGTCATTAACAGCATCTCAAACAAGCTACAGACCTTCATTAATAGATGTCTTCGCTCAATACCACTCAAGATCAGATGGCCGGAAAGGATCAGCAACAAAGATCTCTGGTAATGAGCGAACCAACCTAGCAGGAACTGATTGTAAAACAAATAAGCAGGAAGAAATGGAGATGGATTGGCTGGCCACACTCTGAGAAAACCAGCAAGTGACATCACTAGACAAGCCATTGCTCGAGTGGAACCCGAAAGGGAAGCGACGAGTTGGTCGTCCAAGGGTGACCTGAAGGAGATCATGTGAAGAAGAATTGAAAGCGTATGGGCAGACTTGGAGCCAGGTGAAAACTCTAGCAGAGAACCGAACGCAATGGAGACGCATGGCTGAAGCCCTATGTTCCTCTAGGAACTAAAGGAAATAATAATAATAATATAATAAATAATCATTTAGGCTCGAGGACCAAGTCATCCAGTTGTTAGTAGTGCATGATCATTATTGTGTGATCATTAAAAGAAACTTATCTAGGTATTGAATTACATTCTACTACCACAGTGTCCCAGTTCGATACTTATACAGCGATTTCAGGGTTATATATACATATCAAATTCGAAAGTCAATATCACGTACAGCTAGCTCAAATGTCTCCTACACGTAGCCAAAGGTGTGTTGTAATAAGATCGACTAAACTGCAACTTTGTATCCAAAAAGACCACGTTCCTGGCTAAAATTGCATTAAGGTTTCTTCTTCTCACCAAGAGCGTTTCCTCTGCTTATCCCTCCTGGGTTTTCTTCTTTTGCTTTGCTTATTATTACAATTACAATTATTATTATTATTTTGAACGTAGTTAATAACGATGATTATAATGATAAGAAAATATTGATAATAAGTCATATGAACTGTGATCAAGATTTGACCGGATAGTTGCAAAATAATTGAGCGCTGAGTGAGAAGTAGACATTTATAAAATTATATTTGTAAAATCTCAGCGAAATTGAAATGATTAATTTCCCTGAAGAAGTTCGGACCAGATTGCCGAACGAAACGTTGGAATTAATCATTTCAATTTCGCTGAGATTTTACAAATATAATTTTATTGATAATAAGGTTTATGCAGATGGCGATAAGAATAACAAAGGTAGTGAGTGATATGTGTATATGTAGACAATTCAATAAATAAATAAATTAGGTCAAATCTTAAAAGTTACGTAATACTAAAGGTAGATGAAGTGGACAGATAATCAGACTTTAAATAAATAACATAAAAAATACGAAGGAGATAGAAAATAAGAAAGAACGGACTTATACTGCCGCCGTCACTCTTTGTTTTTCATTTTCCAGCCGGCGATCAATTATGATTGCTCAAGTGAAAGACAAGCTACCTAGCTGTGCCATTTCTAATTGTATCTATATATTTAGTTGCTCCGGTAGAGAGAGCTACACACAGAATATTTTAAATTAGTAGTTAATAACAACAGGCCGTACAATTAGGCGTGTTTCGCGTCGAATTTCCGAACATCACCCTGCCTGGTTAAGCGAAGGTCAAACAAAATCTATTCGCAGCGCTATTCTGGCTCACCTTGTGGAGACAGAACACAAGATTGACGTTGATCATGCTTTCAAGGTCATTTACCGCATGCCTAAGAATCTCAGTTTCGCTTTAAGAGTTCGACTTCTAAATATTGCTGAGGCTGGCTGTTGGGATCCATATTAAGAAGCCTAATTTATGCAACCAAAAGAAGTTTGTTCAGTCATTATCATTCCCTTGGCCATCTAGGTTTGAATAATCCAGAAGTTTTTGTGAAATTTCGCTAATTTTAGTTGGTATTCTTTTCGCCACTATATCTTTATTATTATTATTATAATTTAAGCATCTTTAATGAACTGTAATTTCATTGTGATCATAATTTACAAATCGATATTATTTAAAAAAACGCTAATATTGTTATTGACTACTAATCTAGAATATTCTATGTATATAAACATATGTATATATAATTGTAGAGCCTGGAAGAGGAATTTATCGAAAAGAATATTCTTTACTCGATTATTTCGTGTTTTATGGATGTCTGAATGAATATTTTTGCAATATTTTTAATAACAATTGCTCTGTAAATATCACCGCTATGTAGATATGTCACTGTAGTAACCAGATGATGAGAAAGAATTGGTTTGGAGGATCTCATCATGAGCTGACATCAGTTAGAGAAACACTGGAAAACCAGTCACAGGGAGTATTGGACAGACAGCTGTATCATCAGGCTAGTTACCTGGGCCTCTTCCTCAATACGCACCCAACACCGACAGGGTTCGAACGAGCCCAAGACCTTCTGGTTACAAGGCGAGTGATTTCGTAGACCGTTATTAATCCACTGGGACCCGATCCAATGGCCAGCCAGTCCATGAATTCCAACTTCTGCTGGTTCACGACATAGTGCAACCACTTAGCATCGTCTTCTTCGATGAGCAACCCTTCTCACCTTCAACCTGCTCTACCCTACTGGTCACGGCTTCCCACTAGAGCCAGTCCAGGTTAACTGCCTGACACAGAGGCAGTCGCTGGTGAGTATCAGATCAATTTTCAAGTATTGGTTTTGTAGTCACTTTGTTTGACTGGTTGTAAGATTTAATAATAATAATAATAATAATTTGCTTTATTCCAAAACAGTACTTGTGATACAGAATGGAATTCTCAGCATTTTTACTGCAGTATCGCATCCAGTTAGTACATTATCAATAAATAAAATTCTACATCGATTAAGGGTAATCTCAGTTCATTATGACAACAACATATTGGCATGTCGGTAGCAAAGGTAAAGTTGAACAGTGTTTGAAGGTATTAGAAAAGTAGGTGCTATCATATTTACTGGCGTAAGTGGAAGAAAGAAACAAAGCAGCACATAACAGAAAAGAGAGAGAGAAAAGGAAAGACGAGATCCAGCTGTTCTACTGACTATTTAATAAGTTATCAACTGACACTGGTTAGGGAACTATTGGAAAACCAGTCAGGAGTCGCAGACTAGACTGATGAAACAGCTGTCCTATAGCTACGGTTTTTTCCAATAGTTCTCTAACTTGAGAAAGAATTTATCCAAAAAGAAGACGGGCTCAAAGTGAATCAATAAACAACAGTATAAAAAATAAATAAATAAATAAATAAGCAAAGTAAAACAAGCAAGGACTTACATTAGAAATATTTTATTTCTTTCTCCTTGAATTTTTGTTTTTATTTCCGTGTGAAATTATGTATATATTGGTTAATTATTATTAAATAATTATTGTAAATTTCTTCTCTTCTTTATGTATTTATTCGTATGTTTTTTGGTGTGTTGTTTAAATGTTGTAATATTGAATCAATCAATCAATCAATTGTAGCGCGTAATTTTTAAATCACCACAATGGAGGGAGAGACAGCGACAGCGATAGCGATAGCGACAGATAGATAGAGAGAGAGAGAGAGAAAATGATTCAAATTAACAAATGTGCAATTCAAAATTCAATATTTATTCATATTAATAACTGAGCTAGTAGTATTATTATTATACACACATTTAAGGTAGATAATGATAAATTCTAGTAAATATTAAGAATAATATTTATAGATATTTATATAAATGAATAGATGAATGTATACCACATATATGTTATATCTATCTATGTGTATGGTTGGATAGATGGTTGGATAAAGCATATATAACTCTCTCTCTCTCTCTCTCGCTCTCTCGTCTTACTCGTCTTTCTCTCTATCTATCTATCTATCTATCTAACTAACTAACTACACTGAATAGTAAAATCACTTATCACAACAACGACTACTACTACTACTACTATTAACGCTAACTGCCTTCTGCTGATTGGTGGATTAAAGTACAATATTGTATAGATGATTTTACTGAACACACATAAGAAATTAACCAATTAAAATCATTTCACAATGTCATATTATTATTATTACTATTACTACTAATATTATTACTATTAGTAGTATAATATCATTATGATACATTAAAAAAATAAAATAGAATGAAGCATATTTTCATAGCATGCAATGCATGTATGTGTCTGCGGGAACACGTGGCTTGGCAATACTAACACGAATAATAATTGTAATTGAAACAATTAAGTCTCTTCGATATAATAAATAAATTTAAATAAGGCATTCTAAGAAGGCAAATATGGGGTTGTTTACGTATATGTTGAACACGGTTTGATGACATCAGTTAGAGAACCATTGAAAACCAGCTACAGGGAGTTGTTTCATCCTAGTTTATTGGGAATCATTGGCACCCATTGGGGTTCGAACCCAGGACATTCCGGTTGGCTGTCCTGGAATCGTCAACTGACAAATTTCCACAACTGGGTACCCATTGGTCGAAAACGAAACCTGATTCGGTCGCCTGCCACTCGTATTTGGCGCATATGTAGCCCTGATACTATGGAAGATGAGTTATACATCTTGAGGAAAATCCTAATAGAAAATGGATTTCCACCACGTTTTATATATAAGAATATTCATTCAAATCCTATCAAAAACGTGACTTATCAACCGTACACAAGAAGATACTTTACATGAGCTTGGAATTCAAAGCGGACTTCGCTTCCGAAATCATGAAGCGAAGGATATCACAGTCCCTGAAAAGAACATTTCCTGCTGCATCTCTGAGAATAGCCTTTACTAGTCGATCATTACTGTTCAATAACCTGAAGGAAAAGATCCCGCTGTTGATCAACTCTATGTGTGTTTATCGATTCACCTGCTCGTGTGAAGCTAGGTATATCAGTCGTTCGACTCGAGTTTTGTCCAAGAGAGTGCAAGAACACTATCCTGCATGGCTGTTACGAAGAGGTGGAAGTGGAGCAATAAGAAGCGCGATCATTGAACATCTGGTCGATAATGATCACCCTATCTATATAGCCTCCGCTTTTAAAGTCATCTACAAGGCAAAGAGTAATCTACCCAAATCCCTACGTACCCAACTAGTCTGTGTATTGCTGAAGCCATCTTTGGCTATCGAAACAGAAAAGCCAGATCTCTGTGTACAGAAAAAGTTCGTTCAACCCCTCCAACTTGCATGGTCTTAATCCTTCTTTGCTAAAGTATGGTAATCCCCAATCATATTTTGGCTCTACCAATTTTTAATTTTTTCATTTTTTGTCTATTCAATTTGTATACTCTTCCTTATTCAGTCAATTGTTACTATTACTACTCTCACTTTTAATTGTCCCCGGTATTATTTCACTTGTTCCACTTGTCATTCTAAATCAATTCCTTTATGCAACGTTAAATTCTATGCTATTAAATTTCACACAATATTACATAACGTTTTTATTTTATTCGATTTGTCTACTAATCTTATAATTCCACACCTTTTTCAAGTTCTATCCATCCTATGGATGATTCCATATATGACATTAATTTGCTTTGCCACTTGACATTTGACTGTGATTGTAATCACAAACATTTTAGTTTTAATTGCATTTCATATTATTATTATTTTATGCATTCACACCTATGATTCAATTCCCACACCGGATATAACTTCTTAAAAACCATGTGTATATATACGATTGTACAGCTTGATGATAAATTCGTTGAAAAGAGTCTCTTCGCTGAATCATTTGTTTTGATTTTCTATAACCTTTTTTCATCTAGTAAATAAACAATCTCCTCCATCCATCCTTATACACCTTCAAGTTTTACTTTTATTATTTCTATTATATTTATTGTCCTGTTGCTTCTTTGTTTTTACTTTCATAATTGTAAACACCAACTTATCTCTATTGACTGCTGTAATCTTTGTTTTTCCCCTCACCATATCATGTGTAAAGAGAACATTATATTCAATATTTTTTGATCATGCAAGGATTTGTATACCGCATCGACAATACTGTGTGAAACAAGCCCACGGCAATTTTCCACTTGTATTATAGTTATTATTATTACCTTAGCTGCTATCACCATTATTATTATTTCCATTTTATATGCTGCAGGTTTTTTTTTTGATATTACCCCTATTGTAAATGTAGAAAAATTTTCTGTGTGATTAATCTTATTTATAATTTGAGGAAATTAGATGGACTATTGTGATTAATGTTGAAAATTCCATTCTATATCACAATTACTGTTTTTGGAATAAAGTATATTATCATTATTATTATTACTATTACTATTATTATTATTACAAGGAAAGCTCGTATACTATTCATTCTCTAACTGATATCAATCCGTGATCAACTCGTAAACACAAAACTAACCCTTACAAACCAAACTATGGAAAATTAATCTGATGCTCGCTAGTGACTTGCTACAGGATGGAGTTTCCTGGAGTCAGTTCTAGTGAGAAATCGTGACAACCACTGAGGTTCAACCAGATGTCACGTGTGAGGATGGATGTCCTACCAACGACAATAGTTGGGGTTGCGCTAAATCACGAATTGGTAGAAGTTAGAATTCATCGGCAGGTCATTGAATAGGCTCCCAGTGGCTGAATGGTATACTAGCTCACCTTGTAATCGGGAGGTCCTAGGTTTGAACCCCAGTGGGTGCCGATGATTCCCGAAAACTAGGGTGAAACAGCTGTCCAGTACTCCCTGTGGCTGGTTTTCAATGGTTCTGTAACTGATATCAATCCGTTGTGAAATAATGCTGGGCTTTTATAGATTGCTTTTACGATTTCATCAGTAAGCGACCCATTGGAAAACCAGTCACAAGGAGTACTGCACAGACAGCAATTTCGTCCTATTCGTTTAAGACGCTTCAGCAGTATCCATCCACCGCAGGAATTCGAACGAACCCAGGACCTTTCAGCTACAAGACTAGCGAGCTTGTAGACCACAAGCCAATGGGACGCAATTGAATGGCCTATAAATACTAACTTCTGCGGATTAACAATATACAGTGACCACTATTCAATGTCATCAGTGGAGAGCATTTGTCCTCACATTCGTTCTGCTGTTAGCTTTTCGTCACAAATAAACATCAATGAGTGTACACAACGGTGAAGTTCAACAATAGCGTCCCAGAAGGGCGAACGCTCCAGTGACTTTGAACGCATGCTAGTCGTTGGCTAATGCCATCTGTCATTTTGAAAGCTAAAATATTAAAGTTATTCATCAACTATGCTGCAAATTTCACTCAGATCATATTTGTGAGTACTGTCTGGACAATGTGTTGATAGCTCGTTAGGGTTAGGACTAGGGTTAAGATAAATATTGGGGTACGGGTTAGGATCAGGGTCATAATTAGAATTAGGGTTAGGTTTACCGTTAGGATAAGGGTTAGGTTCAGGACTAAGGTTAGGGTTACAATTAGGGAAAGATTTAGAGTTGATGTCATTTATCTTAATTTGTTTTATTATCCACACTTCCCTAGTAAGTAGTTGTCGATCCTCCTACTGGAAACCGTAGTAATTCAACGGAGGGCCTTTGAGGAAGACTGCAGAACAGGATAGGAAAGATAAACGATCCACAAAACAGCTCATCTTCAGTCACCTCGGTGAGTACATGAACAGGAACTAATCTAACTTAGAAACTGATACTCCTCGCTACAACTACGACGTATTTTTAAGTCCTGTCAGAGAAAGATACCCTGTTTAATGTGTTTCAGTGCATTTTCTTGTAAATGTACGTCATTTTTTGTACAAAAATTCCTCATTTTTATGATTAGTCGGTTGAAGGTCACTTGTGCGTTTGCACACCTGGGACGCTATTGTTGAACTTCGCCTACACATTTGATCATAGGGAATAAAAAAAGACGGTTGTAGCGGGGAAAATTTTCTTTTCGACGAAATCATCAACTAGGCTGTACATTCATGTATTTATAATAAATGGATGGGAAAGTTCCAGAGTAATTTCCGGTTAAGGGTCAAATGAATAAAATTACAATTAGGAATTAAAATGCCATAATAAACAGGGGTGACGGATAAAACTCAAACAAAGTAGTATCATAATTACTGAGAAGATTGACATATTGTGCGATTAGGGGTTAGAAATGTAGAAATAAAAACAATAGACAGGATGTTTGTATACAAAATCTAGTGGGATCACAACTAATGTGACGAGTAATTGGTTATGCAATCAGGAATTTAATATGTAGAAATAATAAAATGACAAAATAGATAGGAATTTCGGATATGATAAAATGGTAGTGTAAATAGGTTTATTTTTATCCTTCACGTTCCCTAGTGGAACATATTGCACCTTCAAGCTAGGGGCTTGAAGTTTCTGTAGCAGTGTTTAATTTTTCAGGATGGGGTTGCTAGGCTCATGCCCAACCTTTCCTCTTCACCAGCTTTAGTTCTGGCTTAGCGAGGTAAAGGAGTGCGTCGGCCGGGTATCGAACCCCGGACCATATGCATGGTCGGTGAGCATCCTAACCGCTATGCCACCGACGCACAAATAGGGATTAAGAAAAACTTAAAAATAATATTAATAAATGGAAGTTTGGATAAGAAAGTCAATGGGATAGTCACTGTCAAAAGAATCACGCGTTTGTGATGGCCATGGCAAGGACAAGGGTTGAACGTATTTCTTTTGGATACATAGCGTCGGTTTGAGCTTTTGGATAGCTAGTGCCTCGGCTATGCCCAGATGTCTTAATTTTACTCCCTTTGATAGGTTTGATCGAATCTGGTATATGATTTTGAAGGAATTTTCGAAAGGCGCTGAATGTCCTGAATTGACCAGATGTTCTGTCACTGAACTATATACCAG